GGGGGGGGCGAAAAAAGCTTGCAACTTGAGCTTGCAACTTAAGACTTAAAGCTTTTTGCTTAAAGTCCGATTTATAATACGTAGTATATAATGCAACTAGGTTGCAAGGTCAGATGCACATTTTGCAAGATTTACGAGCACGAGCTAAACAGTTTGAAGCAATTCTTGCATCTTGACGTGCAACTTAAAGATACAAGAATATTTTAATAATGAAACTTGGCTTGCATTTGCGAGCCAAACACACCTTTAGCTTGTACCGTAGTACTACTATATAAACACCGAGCTTTTTACCGTTTGACTTAAAGCAAATTCAACGAAATAAAGACCATTTTTAACCTTTTTATAATATCGAGCACGTGCGCTCGATTTTTTTTACGTTACCTTTACTTTTTTCACTTAGCTTAGCTGATTATAAGCTATTTCTGCCTTTTACTCCCCTTATATATAAATGTCGGACCGAGTTTAGGCCTATAAATCATAGAGCGGTGGTTTCTTAATGGCTCAAAGCTCTGTCAACTTTATTATATAAACTAAATACTAGCTCAAAGATACTTTTTAAAGTTAAATCTTTATGAGTTAATTGGTTTAAGCTTCGGTAAGATCTTTTGCGAAATTATACTTTCGACATTTATTTATGCGGGGGGAGAGTATTGGCTTAAAGATACTTTTCAAAGCTGAATCTTTAGTAGTATATAGTATTACGTACGTACGTAGTAAGTTGATTGGCTTAAGCCTTGGTAAGATCTCTTGCGAAATTATACTTTCGACATTTATTCATGGGGGAGGAGAGTATCGATAACGTAGTATATTCACTTCGAAATAAACCGCTACTTAAATTAAAAAAGCTCTACGTTTATTATTACGTTATGTATTGATTCGAGCGTGCACGTAATGCTCTTCGAACTTCCGCTTTCAGCCTTCTTTCTGTTACGGTGCTGGCAGGCAAGCCTTGGTTGAAGGAATACCGGTAGAAGATTGCTTAGCCGAAGCTAGCGGCCGCCCAACGAGCCTTGCACGTGATATTCGAACCAAATCAATCACGAGCGAAGCTTTAAATTCGATTCGAACTCGAATTTTCAAAGTATCGGAGTTCAGCGTCCTAGCCGATTTTGCGAGCGCGTTTATTGGTCAATCGTTTCGGAGTAGTAGTAGACGTAGTAGTATTGTTTTAGCGCCTGTTGCGGATCCTAAAAAGGAGTCCGTCCGACTTACCACCTTCCTAAGAGTTCTCGGCTGACTCCGGTCCGGCCTCGACCCCCGTCGCTATGCGACTTGAACAGCTGGCGCCTAGCTAGCTATAGCAGTCTGTATCTACTTGACTTTCCTTTTATGGTTTTCCCTTAACGAAAGGTTTCTTTTTATATGATCTATCTTATTTATAAAGGAAGGGCGCATGCGATAGTAGCCCTCGTTACAGCACTATAAATTGCTTTCTAAGGCCTTCTTGTATGTAACTCCTTAGCTTAGCACGTCGCCGTACCCTATGAGAGGTCCCAGGGCGGCAAGCTTCGCCTGCTACCCGACCGACGTAAATAAATATAACAACAACAACAACAACCTTCCTAAGAGTATAATAGCGTGCCGGCATTAAGTCCCACCTATAAGCACTCCGCAAAAGCAAGTGGTATCTTAATTAATTACGTAGTAAATAGTTTTTTAAACACAAAGTCTATCTATATCGATAATATAAAAACCCGTAAGAAAAAAACCAAATTGATATGGAGTCTCGGGTCTTTGATCTCGCGATATTGCAGCTCTAATATATCTTAATGCTTTTTATTAACGGCAAATTTGATTAGAAAAGTGTCATTTGCGGCGGTCGCCTTTTATTGCGATTAGTTATTAGCAGCTCGATATACTGTCTTTCCGATCATATAATCGAATATCCGACCAAGATCCTTTTTCTTTTTTCCTTTCGTTCGATCTTTTATATTCGTAATCGATTATAATTATAAGCGTCTTCGGGCCAGCTTTTGCTTAAGGTTCTTTTATTGTATAATAATCCCGAGAATTCCGAGAGCTAAGCCGCTATCGTATCTACTACGTACGTAGTACTTCGTTCTTTTACCGTCCTTGTATAATCGATCGTAAATACGGCTTATCGTATCGGGTTCGAGAAAAAGGGTCGAATTCAGTCGTTAGATTAAGTTATCGAGCTAGTCGATAAGGTCGGGTTCGAGTTACTTTCCTTCCCCACGAATACATGTCGGACCCAGTTTAGGCCCATAAATCATAAAACGGTGGTTTCTTGATAGCTTAAAGCCTTGTCAACTCCACTATATAAACTAAAACCTAGCTCAAAGATACTTTCCAAAGCTAAATCTTTATAAGTTAATTGGTTTAAGCCTTGGTAAGATCTCTTGCAAAATTATACTTTCGATATGTATTCATAGAAAGGGGGAGTACTACTACATATGTAGTAGTACGAAAGAGTACCTTCCTTATCTCACGGGAAAACGGATTGACGAGTAGCGCTCGTGGCGCTGCATTTTCCACGGTAACAGCGGCCAAAGCGGTTGGGGACCGAGTTTTCCGGACTGAGCCTCGCTCAAACTTGACAGACTGAGCCTTGCTCAAACTTATAAAGAGTTGACTTTCCCCCGCCCTTCCCCACCTCCACATTTCAGTCCTGCGTTAATAATAACATCCAAACAAAGATGGTCGACAGTATCACTCCTTATGACCCTCGGGTCCAATACAAGACTGCTATCCTTAATGGCGTTACGTACAACTACATCCTGGCCGAGCCCCTTGGTCAGATCCTCTACACCATCTTCCTCATCCACGGTTGGCCCGATCTTTCCTTCGGATGGCGCTATCAAATTCCTCATCTCCTATCGCTCGGGCTTCGAGTCGTGGTTCCAGACATGATGGGATACGCAGGAACCGACGCGCCTGAGTCCCTAACACACTACACCTATAAGCGGGCCGCCGACGATCTGGCCGCTCTCGCTCAACAACTGGGACTTTCAAGCATCATGTTGGGAGGACACGATTGGGGAGGAGCCATTGTCTATCGAGTCGCCCTCCACTATCCTAAGCTCATCAAGGCCATGTTCAGTGTGTGCACTCCGTTCGCACCACCCCGAAAAGAATTCCTCGACGTTACGGTAATGCCAAATTTCAAGTACCAAGTGCAGCTCCGTGGCCCTGAAATCGAAGCCGAGATTGTCGGAAAGGAGAAACTGAGAAAGTTCTTGACCGCCGTGTACGGAGGACGAACCCCAGAAGGAGAGCCTGGATTCACCGTCGCCCAAGGGCTCCTCTTTGACGCGCTCCCCAAGATTACCCCAGGCCCTCTCGTGAGCAAGGAGGAGATGGACTTCTATGTCGAGCGATACGCCTTGAAGGGCATCCGCGGGCCCTTGAACTGGTACCGGACGCAGGAGCTCAACTTTGAAGACGAGAAGCTGATGGCGGCCGAGATGGAGGGTTTCAAGTTTGATATTCCCACGCTGTTCATTGCTGGCGCGAGGGATGAAGCGTTGCCGCCGTCCATGTCTGTCGGAATGGACAAGTGGTTCCGGAGTCTGACGCGGGGGGAAGTTGATGCGTCTCATTGGGCGCTGTGGGAGAAGCCCGCGGAGGTCAACCGTTACATTGAGGAGTTTTTGACCGGCCAGATCAGCGCGGGGAAGGCCAGTCTGTGATGGATCTGTGATCAGTAGATAGATGCGTGAATATTACCCATCCACCTCTGCCATCAGCAATTTTTGGAATGCCCGTGTTAGAATTGAACGTAGAGGTGCATTTGATAGGGTGTCGGAGCAAAATCTGAGCTACATGACCGCGGGTTTTACAGCAGGTGGGTGGATAGGTTCGGCTTCCTGACCGTGAGATCACCGTCGCGGTTCCGGTTTCTCGACTACTACTGTTCAGTCTCAAAGGAGGCCCACCCCAGCGCGCCGACGAATATATCGTCCGCCCGTGCGATTATCGGAAACCCTCTTCAGTACGGAATGCGTGTGATCTCCACGAAAGCCTTGTCGGCGGGAGCGAGTTCGATAGGTGTGACAGACAACTTGACCTCTTGCCTCAATCAAGTAGATCGGATATTCCTCTCAAGCATCTCCTCTTTTTCCTCTTCCTTACTCCTTTCTTCTCTTCTCCCTCTTCGTTTTCAAAGCAACGTGTATAATGATGACGTCTGGACTACCTATGCTCTCTTTCGACTTTTCCGGAGGGAGTACCCATGTTTTTTGATAGCCTGAGATTTATCATTACTATCACATGGCAGATTGGTACTTCGTTACAGTATCAGACGAGTTCGGGGAAAATATATATTGAAGGAGAGAGGGAGAGAGCCTGGCTAGGTAGCTTCCACTCCGTTTCGTTGTGATAATTAGGTAATTATAATATAGCATAGCTTTTCGCTTAATTTACAGTCTGTCACCGAGCCCTTCTTCCAACGAGTGTCCTGCAGTGCAGCCTACTCTGTATACCTATCGTAGATGCTTTCACCTCTTACTAGGATTCATCTACCTGTACTACACAAGCAATAGGTATCTAGGTAGGTAGTTCCTCCGCAGAATTAGCGTCACTACCAATTTTCTTCTTATATATATATAAGGTCTAGCCTCTGGCTGCCCTCCGCAAGCTCCGGGGCTAGAAGAGACCTTGCTTCGCCCGGTCGTGGTGCGAGGCTGCCTTCCGCATCGATTTTCTATAAGAAATAATCTTTAAAAGGATATAAAGAAAATGTGACGCTTTAGCCCGGCCGCGAGCTAAAACTTACGGCCTTCCGCAAGCTCCGAGGTAAGTTTTCCAGACTTCGCGGTGTAATATTCGTAGCTATATAATCTATAATAATAGCTTCTTTTAGCGCGATGCAGCTAGCTATCTCTTAAATATTTATATAGTCTTTTTTTTATAAGATAGCCCTTTTCTGCGCGATGCAACCAGCTACTTTTCGAGCATTTAACTTATAGCAATAGCTCTTTTCAGCTCGGTGCAGCTAGTTACAGCCCCTTTCAGCCCGATGCAGCTACTGTGATGGCCTGAGGCTGCTAGGCCTCTTAGGAGCACGTGCATGCTAGGGGGGTACATAGATTTCTCCCACCAAGGAGAACTTAGAAATATCATCCTCTCCACACAACCAGCTCCCCCCCCCCCATATAGAAGTGCTACCTAGGTATCTTTTAAGCATTTAATTTGTAGCAATAGCCCTTTTTAAAGCGATACAGCAAGCTGGTTTTCGAGCTTTTTTTATTTTATTTTTTTAATTAGCTATTTTTCAAAAGAAAATAGTTCATAAGAAAAGGTTTTAAAAAAAGTAGATTAAAAAAAGTCTATTTCAATCGCAGAAACGCAAATCTAGCTCGTTGTTGTTGTTGTTGTTGTTGTTGTTGTATTTATTAACGTCGGGCGGGTATCCAAAACGCAATGCTTGGACCCTAGGGACCTCCCACAGGGTACGGCGACGTGCTAAGTAGAGGAATTATATATAAAGTACTATCTTAGCTAAATACTTGTAAACCCTTTAAAAGCAATTCATATTGCTGTGCGTCGAGTTTTCTCTCGACAATTGTCGAATACGTATAGCCTTACGAGCGGCCTCGATCCGTATAGTACAAATATCGTTTTCTTTCGTCGTAAAGCTAAAAAGGCTCGCGTTCGTAGCCTTTAAGTAAAGCCGGTGTATTTGCAAAACGCTTTTTTAAAAGCGTAATATCGTGTTTTCGATCAATCGAAGTAAGCTTTTTTTATCTTATCTTTTATATACGTTCCTTTTTTATCGCAAATCTTCTTAGTTTTTTTAATCGGTATGCCCGTTAAATATAAATCGTAATCGGCGTAATATTCGAAAAGAAAAAGAAAAGAGGTTTAGAATCGCCGGTAAAAGAAAATCTCTTCGAAAAGACGTCGCATATCGATGATTCAATTTCGGCTCTTTAGACTCTTTATCTTTTTTTTATCGCAAAAGAAAGAAAGAGAAAGAGCTAAAGGTTCGTAAAGGGCACCTCGTACAAGTAAAGAATCGTAGCCCCCCGAAATCTAGCTCGTTACACTCGCAAGATCTCCTTTTCTATATTAGCAAGCGCTTAATTAAGTTTTTAGTATTCCTCGATAGCTTAAGCTTAAATGGATGCACTTAATCAACGTCACTAGCGTAGGTCAAGTGACCGCATTTTTAATAGTTTACGGTCTTAGCCAGGATCCACATTTAGCTCAACATTATATTAGATAGCAATAGCCCTTTTTAAAGCGATACAGCAGGCTGGTTTTCGAGCATGTTTTTTTTGTTTTTTTTTTAATTAGCTATTTTTCAAAAGAAAACAGTTTATAATAATTTATAATAAAAGGTTTT